TAGTGCAGGTGCAATGCACTTAGACAATACTAGGTGTAGGTACACATTGGTACCTAATGTTAGAAAAAATCATTGTACATCACTTGTCATGTTTAAGGCAGCACAAACTATAAATAATCATAAAACAGGTAGATTCATGCTCCTACCTTCAAATTTTAATAACTATAATAGCGAGCTCCTGAGAGCCGCACCCACCCCACCGTCTTGACTCCCCAGCGCCGTTTCTGCATTATCGTTGCATAATTACAATATTTCTGCTTACCAAGAACCATAAAAATGTACAGGGCCAAGGTAACAATAACAATGCAATGAAAAAACGTTTTTTATCATGTCTAAGTACGTTTATGAAATGGACAGGCCAGAATAGTCCGGAATATAGCCTGAACTAAACTAAACTGAACTAAACTAAAGTAAACTAAGCTAAGCTAAGCTAACCTAACTCAACCTAACTGAACCTAACCCCCACACTATCCCCTTCAACCAAGTGTCCCATTGGCATCCATGTTCCATGCCATATATATGTGCCATATTAAGAAGTTTTGTTTAGCCACCATATTCTCATTTTGCTTATTACTCCCCCCCCCAAAAACATCAGATTTCCCTACCATGTTCACTGCTCTGCAAACAGTACAGAAGACTGCTTGGATACACAAGAAACATATTTCACTGGATTCTTGTTACCTTGGCCTCATACATTTTTATGGTTCTTGATGCGCAGTAATGTTGTGATGATGCAGTAATGTGATTACATGTAGCAATGGCACTGGGGGTCGCAGTTGCTGCATGTTTGCGGTGCTCGATTGTTCGCTATTGTAGTTATTTAAGTTCCTAGGTAAGAGTTAAGATGACTTGTTTTACAATTAATTACAATGTGTTCTGCCTTAAAAATGACAATTGATGTACAATGTTCTTTCTTAACATGAGGTAGCAATGTATACCCCGAGCCCATACCAACATAAAAGCATGTAAAACAAAAAAGAGGCACACAATGTGCAACTCTTACTCATGTACCAAATTCCAGATGCTGAATTAACACAAAAAGTTTGAGAAATCACCAACCTCATTCATGACAAACATCACCAAGGCCTCAGCATCCATTGAATCTAGAAGGTTTTGAAGCTGGGAGTTGGACAGTGCTGGAAGTGCTGGCAATTCTGGCATTTTTGTTTCAAGCCTGAGAATATAAAGGATGTAACAGTCAGCAAAACTAAGTATGTACCCATAATAAGCACATCAAGCTTGTTGCATCCATATGGGCATAAAGCACATGACAAAATTAGCATATTGAGAAAAAATAACCCATACCAATAACTCCTTGCACCACACTGCTGAATAATATAATCTTAATTTGAATATATTAGTTGCTTATCCAGTCAACTCCAAGATGTAAGGCCATAAAAATGCTATCATATCCCACAAATTGTGAAAATAACAACACAAGGGTATATACATCACTGAGCTAGACTTTCATTATCTGACAAACACAAAATATTTCTCACCAACTTACGGTGATCACATATCCAGTATTCATGCCTTTAAATTAGCAGATCGTCTACTTACATTGTCGATTCCCACACCAGAACTGGGGCGTTTCTCTCAGCCATAGACAAGCTGGCCATAGCCAGCGCGAACATTATCTTCATTAGACTCATCATGTTTCACTTCTTGCTGCAATTAATATATACGAGCGGCGTTTTTTTGGCACGTTATCGAGCCTTTCAAAGATTACTGGAGTAAGTAAATACTATGACCACAGAACCACTTCGGAACAACCCCACGCACAATCCACAATACAGACATCCGCACCCAGCACGTAAAGAAACGGACTTCTGAAACACTCGCGCCACTCTTCGTCACCATTTGTCCCGTGACCATAAGTATCGATTTGCTGCAGAAATAAATAGATATTTGAAAGGTTTCGTGTTAATGATATCGGACTAAATGACTATTTACTACTTTCATCGCCAATTAAATAATGTCTTACATCTCCAAAAGTATTCCATACTAACTTTACGTTGCCAATGGTTTCAACTAGGAATTATCGATAACGCGCTGGATCACATGATTTTGGTAGGGAACCAGTTACCAAGGAAACTCAAAGCAACGAAAATATCGCTGTATTGCCACATTGTATGAATCATAAACTGGGCACTTCACCACTGACTGGATTAATGTCAGCAATACCGACTTTTTTAAACACAGGCTGAATAGTTCTAAGTCGGAATGTCCACTGCAGCCACCAAGCACACGAAAGAGACATAAAAAGCAGTGAGCATTCTTGAAAGCAACCGATGAAATTCCAACTGCCGACCATGTTGTGGAACCAATTGGCATCACTTCCCCAAATGTTTCAGAACGAAAACGCCGCCATTCACCAGAGATGTATTTTAAGTGTGAGTTGCTGACTCGTGTTGAGTTTCGCGCACGGGTGCCGATTTGTATTCTTTTGTGAGGGCCCTGCCCCCCCCCCCCCCCCAATGTTGCCATGGCCCTCGAATTTTGTTTGGCGGGAATGCTACAATAAACCATGGGTAACTGATGATCATAACACGAAGACTATTTTCTTTGGTCTGTCTGCGTAGTAGCATCTCGTACCACTTTCACAACAAAAAGTCGTGGCTGCTCTCACCAGAAGATGCAAATCGTAACAGTTGAGCTGATTAACGATGCAATAAACTTCACATACCTGGCGCCATAAGGCACACAATGGTTTATGAGGTTAAAGTGAAAAGCTCTGGAAAATGGAGATGGTCTAAGTCATTCATGGCTAACCCCGTCCCCCTCCCCCACAACCAAAATATGTGCCGTCTACCATGACCGCCAAAGAAGAGCGCCATCGGCGCCCTAAGGTAGCGTTTAAAGGGGCGCCTTCACGTTTGCACGGCTTGCACGTTAAGCACGGCTTGGGGTACCCGTGATCATAGAGGCACTCACGATTATAAGCACGACTTGAAATGTCGAGCACTGTCAATATGACCAATGTTTGCGCTATAACATCGCATAACCAGTACCTCCTGGTATATGAAAGGCCGAAAACTCAGCATAAAACCTCTTAACTCATAATTGAGATTATCTTATGACGTCAATAGCTCGCAGTGCTGGAAATCGAATTATCAATCTGAAAATTACTCACTCACCTTGCCAGAACACGTGTACATGCATCTGACATACTCGAGCAGCGAAGGTTGTGTGAAATGCGTTTTCACGTGTCCACGGTGTCGTCGCCCCAGCTTAAACCCACGGTATCCTCCACATCAGCGACGACCAGAGCAGAAAAAAGCCTCCATTCCTCTGCTTCCTGGGTGTGTCAGTGCTCGGCTAGTGTCAGTGCTATATGACATTCCTCTTGTGCTTTCTACTTTGTCAGTATAGGCAGACTGGTACACCGGGCAAAACACGGATTTAAGTGCAGACGACCAGCAGAGCAGGGCCGAACCCGTGACAGGGCCGAATCCGTCACGGGGGTGAACCCGCGATAGGGCCGAATCCGTCACAGGGCTGAACCCGTCACAGGTCTGAATCCGTCACACGGCCGAACCCGCGAGAGGGCCGAATCCGTCACAGGGCTGAACCCGTGGCAGGGCCGAACCCGTGACAGGGCTGATCAGACGTGCCTAGGGTAATGGCAAGCAAAGTCTCTGTGATGCGTCCGCGTATGTATGGTATGCGTGAATGTGCCATGTGAGGCGATTTTCTGAATGGCAGGGCTTTGTGCAGAAACGGCCTGTTAAAAAAAGAAGCCGAAGACCGTGGCATCACGAGCGGCAAAAGCTGCGTCCACGCAACCAGCACCTGGAGCGAGGTGTGGTCGTATAAAATCATCATAGCCGGCTAACACAAGATAATTCAGCATGAGATACCAACAGCATCTAAACACCGTCTTACGTGCTCAACAGCTCATCATCTTAAGATAAAAACCGTCACTTAACACGCACCCCGGTGGCCTGTTGGATGCCTTTCGCTCGGGTGGGGGCGGTCAATTTGACCGCTCCCTGTGAGATCTCAGGTACTAAGAGAGCTAGAGACAACCAAATTTACAGGGTGTGTTGACCTGTACGTGAACCTCCTTAGTTCAAAGTTAGATGTTCCTAGGTCATTACGTTTGGGTCAAATGAGGTCAAACAGGGACAAATTCCAGGTTGGTCTCCGAAGGGTCCCTAGAACCTAGATAACTGTTCTAAGCAGAAGGTCGCATACTCATTGAACGTGAACGTCAATGACCTTGTTTGACCTTTCGAAGGTCATGGTGACCAAAATCATGCAAGACTGCAATATTTTTTGCATTTGAATAAGCGACTGAGATTACGATAGGAAGCATGTTCCTAAAAACAAAATGTTGATCTTGGTCATTTCAGGTCAGTGATAAATTGCGAGTTAAAGTAGTCGATGGGAGGTGTATAATACGGTTCCTGTTATCAATAAATTCGAAATGAGCGCCAGAAAATACCCGATACAGCGAGCCCTACAGTAATAAAATAGGTTGATTTTGACCTTGGTCGGATCTTCATACCTGACCTTAGGTCAATGTGATTTGCTCCTTCAGTTGTCATGTTGCCAAGAAAGTAGCTCAGAGATGTATGACTTCATCTAACACTCCGTTGTTGGATCAGATTGAGCGATTCCCTAGAAACTGCCTTCGCTGAAACCATGTCCTGACTTTGACCTGTCGTACGTCAGCGATCTTACAAGGTATATCTAAATGTTTGGTGTCACATGATCCGCTATTAAATTGTCTATAGCCATGCAAAATTTGGCGCGGCCATGCCGTGTCGTTCGGAAACCATCTTGGAAAATCTTCGGGGCATCAATTTGACCCCAACCAAGCGCGTGTTAATGTATGTATATTGAGGACACCATTCACCGTATTTAGTTGTCGTAAGCGGCGAAACATTGGTCGTAGGAAATAGTACTGAAATGTCTGTTCCAGTTGCATGCTCATATCTAATGTCTTATGATAGAGACGTTTTGACCCTGAGGGAAGAATTATTATGATTGACCTTAATTTCGGCGTGCAACAAATGCGTCTTGGCTGGGTTTCAAAACACGTCAAGCCACGGTTCTCGCGCTGGTCGGCTCACGTTGTATTCCACCGCGCGCTTCACCACATTATCAGGTAGATGAGAGCTCCTAGCATCCGGCGGTTCCGCACGGAAACGGTTCATCACCGCATAGGAATTCCTCATCGCTGCCGAGGTTGGCCTCAGAGCTGCCTCAGAACTACACCCCCCTCGTCAACACCCCGTCGACACATCCTCCCGCCGCCTCGCCAAGAGGTCAGTGGTTCGCCACCGTGCAGCCGATCCAGTCGAGGAAAGCATCCACACGGGTGTAGATGCCTGGAAAGTCGACGTTGCCGCAGCCGTAGCCGAAGGAGACGACGCCTACGGCGAACCAGGACTGTCGGTTGTGCTGCAGGCGTCTCTCCATCAGAGGGCCTCCGCTGTCGCCCTGCCGACGTCAGCAGTCCCAGACGTCAGGCGGTTCGCAGCCGTTGATCGGTGCTGCGTACCATGATACAGCCCAAGCACTAGGGGAGAGGAGAGTCAGCGCACGGCCGCAAGCACTCAAGATCCTCAGTGCATACCAAATGAAACGCTGGGCCCGGCAAGTCTCTAATCATGAAAGCAGTGCTGGGCCGGTTTATGGATGCGTGTCGCTGTCAGTAAAGGCCAAAAGCCCTTAAACGACTGCCTATGCTTCTTGAACACGTGGCACTTCAATGCTTTTTTCGTATGCGACCCATCAGCTGTTTACACCATGCACCAGCTCGGGGCGTTCATAACATACAATTTCACGTCAGCACACCAATAAACGCAATGTAAGGCTATCTTGCATCATAATTTCATCCTTTTTAAACCAATATGGCTCAGTCAGCTAGCCAAACATATCATGCAAAGCAATGCTCCTTCGCACGTCAGCATGGTTCACTGGGCCATCCGCCCCAACCCAGCATTTTGCAACGCACATCCCCCATACGATGCACATGCTTGTCGTTTTGGTACCCACCCTGCATGCATCGATCCCGCCGTTCTCGTCCTCTCCGGTGGCGCAGATGTTCGTGTCGTCCGCGGTCGTGCCCCAGCCGGAGTACGTCCGCTGGCACTGAGCGCGGCTCGTGACGTTAATCCGCGCCCACTGCATTGCGGCTACGTTGTTCCCACCTGAAATGGAAGTGCCGGCACGCTCGAGCCTCGAAGACTCGGTACACTTGCCCGCCCTGCACACCCGCAAAGAGCTTCGCACCAGAATGGGCGGTAGGGCCCCATTATGTGACCTCTGCTAGCCTGCCGTTGTATAACATGTTTTAACAATTTAGATTTTCGGTGATTGTTTTGTTTTTTATTTAAGTGTGTAAACGACGGGATGGTTGATAACGTGTGACATGGTGCTGTCGTTTTGTAATGTTTGAGTCATACTACTAATATTATTATACCGAATCGAACAATAGGTCACTTGTTGGAGTTATTCGTAGATACAATCAGCACAAACATGAACATAAAGCTACTACCGCTTAGCGCCCATGGCACAGCTGGGATTTGACCCCGGAGCCCCGCGTTTGAGTCCAAAGCCATAACTATTCCGGCCATGACGCCCCCGGCATGTCTACGTTCAGACTATTGGAGTTCAGAATACATAAATGCCGTTCTCTCTATTTGTGATAGTACTGGTTTGTTAGTAGCCATGGGTGTGCGAAATTGCAGGAGAGTATGACTGGGGCGGTCATGAGCTTTTAAAGATTTAGGCCCAACCTTCTGATTGAACGTATTTCTGGAATGAGCGCCGACGCTCAATAGTGCAGGATTGCGCAGGGAGGTGCAAGGCACTTCGGACACTGATCTGGATTTTGACCTTGCTTGACCTTATTTGAGCCAACAGTTATGACCTAGGGTCATTAAAATTTGACACAAATGAGCTCACACAGAGTCCTATTTACTCTATGACCGTCCCCTCCCCTTCCCACGTTACCCCTCTCCGCTGAGCGCGTCGCATTCAACCATCCATCGGGCGCCCGCTAATTGTCTGCAATCACAAGAAACCTCGATTAAATATGCAGCAGTGGAAAATCAAACGAGGGGGTACCGGTAATGTAGTGGTTAACGTGTCTGTGTAAAATACCCTGTGTAACCACTGGGCGTCTGGGAAACCACATATACGGGGTTCGATTCCTCGCGGTACCTGGCCTTCCTGCCAGGGTGAGGGGTAGGCGACGCCATTTAGCCTCAGCAGCTGAGTGCGTCGTAAAGCCCCAGTGACACATAAAATCGAATGAGGGACCTGAAGGAGAATGGGAAGAATGGTCTGAGAATGTCCTGAAGGGGAGCTGAGCCATAGGCCTACATCTTTCGAGAAATCACGCCGGAAGGCACGCTGTGCTGCCAACTCAAGCCATCGACCTTCCGCTGGCCGAAAATCAAGCCAGGCACTTATATCCGGCAGGGAATCGAGTCGGAGACCTCTCGCTCGATTCCACTACTAAGTACGGCATCTGGTGACCGGCTTCGTGCCCCACTGTTGGGAACCGCTGCTGGGACCCGCTGCTGGGACCCATTACTGGGACCCGCTGCTGGGACCCGCTGCTGACGCCCGCTGCTGACACTCGTTGCTGGCACCGCTGCTGGGACCCGCTACTGGGACTCGCTGCTGACACCTGCTGCTGGGGCCCGGTGCTTGCACCCGCCGCTTACACCCGCTGCTTACTCCCGCTGCTTACACTCGCTGCTTACACCCGCTGCTTACCGTACTCTGTCGCGCCCCAGCCGGCAGTGTAGACAGGCTGACCAGCCAGGTCAGAGATGGGACGGGCGACTTTGGAGATGCACAGCGGCTTCATCACGGCTGCAAGTCGGCAGGCCTGTGTCGGTCTGTGTCGATGTTGGACGATAAAAACCCGTGGCGGCCATTCGCCGAGTCAAACGGTATGCGACTCTGACCAGGATCAGCAAATGGAAAAAACCGTCTAAGAAAGCATCTCAAACAGACTATAAACTATTTCTGCAGGCTATGTTATATCACGACTACTTCAAGCGTTTGAAGACAGGGTGTGTCATAATAAGCTGCAGACTATGTGGTAGACACACACACCACTGAATGTGATGAGTGCATGTAGATCGCCCCCTGAGATTCTTACACTTACACGTACTACACACCAATGATATTGCTACACTTACCGACCACGAAGCTGCGCTTGATTTGCTAGCATGGAGTCGCGGACGCTAGAAATAAGGACAAGGAAAGCGGTGCGCAACTTTGATAATACTTATACTTTTCCCCTTAAACTCATGGGAAAATTGTCCACCATCCACAGTTGATCTCCGTAAAATTAGCTGAGAGATGTGAAGAAACGAGCCATTCGTATTGCTGCGAGGCGGTTAGGTATGAATTTGCATTTAATAACTGCACTATGTGTCAGTGTGTACGGCATATACAACTGTATAGGCATATATATTATATTATATATATATATATAAGTATATTACACCTCTCTCTCTCTTCTCCCTCTCTCTCTCTCTCTCTCTCCTCTCTCTCTCTCTCTCTCTCTCTCTTCTCTCTCTCTCTCTCTCTTCTCTCTCCCTCTCTCTCTCTATCTCTCTCTCTCTCTCTCTCTCTCTCTCTCTCTCTCTCTCTCTCCTCTCTCCTCTCTTCTTTTGAACTGCGAGGCACCAAGGGCAGGCGGAACGGAGATCGGTGGCGCTGCCTCGAGACGCCGTATTAACCACCGTGTGGTGACGTGAGTGTGACGACGTAAGGCAGCACCAACATGATCACTTTGATTGCATATTGTGTTTATGTTCATCATTGCTGATTACAATGTGTAATCGAAAGAGCTTTTTAACTAGCCTGATAGCTTGGCCCTTTGTTGTTACATACAGCGTTTATCAAGCGTGAAAACCCGGGCATTGAGGCCTTACGAGATATTGAGATGCGTTCGGCGTGAGCTTCAATAGGGCGATGGTCGTTGTAGATTCCATTTGAATTCTCGTCTGAAAATCCGGATGCTTGATGGCTTTCTCTACATCGTACACTCTGGGTGGGTACTGGGGATCTTCATCCGTATGCGTGGCCAGACTCAAGTCCCCTAGGCGTACCTTCACCCTGTAAAGTGGCACAGAAGCTGCATGAGGCTGTTGCACTGTCCTTTATAAGTCCGAAATGTTGGTAACTTGGTAAATATTAAGGGGAAAACTGCGCCACTTAACGCAACAATACTTTTTATGGGCTGTGATGGGGACACAGACGGAAATGGTCCATCCAGAATTTGCACAAACCACTTGGATATGTAGTGGCGACTTTTCGCGTACTTGGCATGCAGTCAGACAACAGCCATCTCTATGTATGGAGGAGATCCGACATCTTGTAGGGAACCAGAACGACGCGGTGATGTCATCCGATCGTTCCTGCCATCCCAGGGGCGCGCATAGAAGTTGGCATGCCAGCGTCGGGTCCCGGCCCAAAACGACTGGCTCAGTGGGTTCGCGAACCAAGCACCGCGTGGGAAGCCCTCCCAAGGTGTTGTGCCCCCTCGCAAAAAGTGATCTTTCTAAAATGACGGAAAGAAAAAGATCTTACCGATGTGCGACCACACATGGTAATACACGGTAAGTCAAAGCAGTACCCCTTGCACTTCTCAACACTATTTGGCTAAAATTTCAGTCAGATTGGACTGCGGTAAAATGAGCCCATATCTTAAGAAAAAAATGGTGCAGGGTCGACATCCACGGAACAAGAATTGCCCATCGAGGGCTAGTTGTCTAACTCGACAATATGGCCCGAGCATCTGCGCGCGCGACTTGCGACTCACGGGCCATCGTCCAGGATGCAGTGGGCGGCCGTGAGTATCCAGCGGTCGCTGATGATGGCGCCTCCGCACCGGTTGATCGGCGCAGACGAGTATTGGAGCAGTTGCCATCCAGGGAGAAGTCGGGTCACGCTGTGCACGTCCTGGCCGTTCACCACCCGCGACGGCGCGAAGTTGGACTGGCCGCAGTCGCGCGGCGAAATGAAGTCACGGCAGCGGCGTCTGGGCGCCTGCTGGTGCAGCACTGCCGGTGGGCGGGGGGACGGTCGTGTGGCAGCCACGCTCCTGCTCGCGACGGACCAGAGACATGCCACGAGCGAAACCTGCGCCGACTCTCACCAGCTGTGACGGTGGAACAGCGGACCCGTAGAATGGCCGACTCGCCCATGGATGTGCATCAGAGCATGGCCAATCCACCGCAAACATGGCTCTGACATCTGACGTCTGACGGTCTGACGTCATGCAGACCCTTACAAAAGACAATACACGGCCCAACTTCGCGCTACAAAAGAGCATGTACGCTCGTCGGCCGTGATGTAGACATCATCACGGTTTTGACCCCGACCAGTATCCGTTACGGGCACAATGGGCTCCCATAACCTTTGGCCGGCGCGCGGGGCAATGTCTGAGGAAGTTTCCAGGTACTCCTTTCCTCATGAGAGCTGCGATAAGCCGGCTGGTTCATTGATGTCATTCAGGTATTCGGTGGCACACGTCGTCACACACCCTTCTATCGAGTGCTTCCAACTAAAGGGGTCTGTGAGCACGCAGAGAACGCAGGGCCAGGCGGGAAGGGGTTCTCAAACGCGTTAAAAGACTTTCTTGCCGCCTGGGCTACTCCGACCCCTAACCGACTGACTTTGTTCGCAGAGAACAGCACAAACGGCAAACTCACCACCAGAGGAGATCTTCCATCTGTCTCGCACTCGGACTGCGGCCATCCGCATAGGTGATGTCTCCACTTCGCAGTGCCTCCTGCAGCGTGGCACACTGGGCGCGGCAGCCGGCACGATCCCCGCTGGCCTTAGCGTTCACGCAGCTCTTGCCACTGTCACTGGCACTGAAGACATCTGAAACGCGTGAGTTCAAGACCAAGAGTCCCTCATGCTAACGCCACGACAGCCGATTGTTGAGAGAGGCACACAAGTCCGTGGTCTCCTTTGTGGGTATTCAAGGGCATTCTACCAGCCGAGATCAGTTTGCAGCAATAACGTAAGGGTCTGGGAGCTAAAGCTTAGTCTTTCTATCCAACAACTTAAGCTTCCATTTGTGTAATACACGTTACGTACCGAAAGGTCAACGGTCCACCCCTCGCCTTACGACTAGGAGTCTGGGCATGGCACTGAACTCTCGAGAAGCTGAGTGGATATCATTTGTATTACTGTTAGTAAAAAGTTCGGAGTTTCCGACTCTGACAGTGCATTATCTATGCACTTTTTCTCGGGGTCGTGTCGGTGAAAGTCTGCTTAGAAGTAACAAAGGACGTTTATTTTCGCAAGACATGCACTCTCAGGTAGGCTCTATAGGCTATTTTTCGTAACTGCGTCGCTCTGAATTGCATTATCATCGTTCTGGATGCGCTGAAAAAGTTCAGGCCATCGGAGGTCAAACTAGGTTTCAAAATTCCAGCCAACGTGACAAGATTCGACCTTTTGAATAACATACGATTTGATTTGAAGAAGTTTTTCAAAGTCAAAGAAAATTATTCACAGTTTTTTTTTTTCGAACGACATTTTTCCATTCATGTATCTTTATCTTTTCTTGAATAAAGAGTGGTGCAAACGGCCCGTACAACAGGCAGTCACCTAGAGATTTGTTACATCCTGCGTGGGCCGCTTCATGTTCGTCATTGTCGCTTCGGGTCGGCAGCCCGTAACACGTGCTGCCTAGGCGGTCGGCATCTTGCCCGCTTTAAGCCTTGAGCTATACCACGATTTTCAAGAGCGTGATGTAACGCACGCTGCGTGCGGATCGCACGTCCAGCCTCATCATGGCTGTCGGAGCTATACCACGACTTTCAAGAGCGTGATGTCGTGACGCACGCTGCGTGCGGATCGCACGTCCAGCCTCATCATGGCTGTCGTCGTCGTGGCTGCCGCCACAGCTAACGCCACTGTCGCAGTCGCTGCTGCTGTCTTGACCGCTGCCGCCTCTCTCCGAGGACCATCACGAGCGGGTCGCAGGAGCCAGAGGATACCAGCGGTTCTCCCAGCGCGTGCACCCGCTGGGCAGGCATACCAGCCAGTCACACCGCCCGTCGATGCCCGTGACGACCGCCACTCCACCCCCACCCCCCCCCCCCGACCGGTTCCACAGACTTGCTTCTGGTTGTGCACGGGGACGTGCTTCCCGGAACAGATATGCCTGGGCGGGCCGACGCTACTGGCCGCAAAAGGTTTTCCTCCCCCCACCCTCCTCCATTAACCAACGTGTTAAAATGCAGCCCCCGATCATGGCTGCACAATAGGGTCCTCTCCGAGCAGCTCGGAGGGTTAGGATTTCTCCGAGCGATATGGCAGCTCGTTCCCCAGCAGCACAGGCCTGTGACATTCAGCGTCGGACCAGGATTTCTCCTCCCAGACAGCGGCATAACCGGTTGCCAAACTCTCCTTCAGCAACGACTAATCCAAATGGCAGACAGTGACAGACCCGGGTAGTGCACGGCGTATGGCGTTGATGCTATACTGTTCTTCTCCAGGGCCGATATCGGAAGGCTCAGGTGCTGCATTCTCCTCCAGCACCAGCATACCGAGGCATCACGCCTCCTTCTCCAGAAGATGTAGGCCCGGGTGCTGCACTCTACCCTCCAGCAGCGGCAGATCCGCGGCCCGCACTCTCTTCTTCCAAAGCCGCAGACCCAGACGCCTTGCTCTCCTCCTCCAGAAGCCACACAATCGGCGCAGTGGTCTGCTCCTCCGGCACTGGCAGACCCGCGCGCTGCGCTCTCCTCTCTAGCACAAGAGGAACCTGGCGGCGCGCTCCAGAAGGGGCAAGCTCGGGTGTTACATCTCCAGAAACGGCAAACCCGTTCTCTTTGTATATCATATATATCTCTATATCTATATATATATATATATTAGATATATATATTATATGCGTTACGATTGGGCATCATGCTCACAACCGCCAATATGAACGACTCGAACAATTGTATTTGCTCGACCTTGATCACCGCATGGCCAATAAATGGCACCGTATTTGCATGACGCTACTATGGTGTTATGGATCTGGATGACCTTGAAATAGTCTCCCCGAAAAATTCCGCACATTTTGCGGGTGTGCAGCTCAGAAACTACAGGGGCCTGGATCTAAGAGAGGAGGGCCGTCAACTGCACCGAATGATCTTGAAGGTGGTTATTTCAGTTCAAACCCCGCTAAATATGGAACGCTCCTTTTACACGCGAGTGCATCAGGTGTGGGGCCCTCGGACATTCTAATCTGGGTTTGTTTGTTGTTTATCCTTGTTTGCATTTTTATCCTTATTTGACATGAAGACCATAACCTAGGGATCTCGAAATTTAGCAACAAGCGAATTCACTTACAGTTATATCTGCTCCATGAATTTGGTGTTTAAGCCTTCTTAGTTGTGAGATTTCAGAGGTCACCGAGCGCTTCGTACAGAGCCGACAACCCTTGCTCAATTGTGGTCATAAGCACAGTATGATTTGGTTATTTTATCCTTTGTATTAGAGCCGTTTCGGTCAGTCATGACCATTTATGGCTATGGGGTGGGTGAGAATGGATGAACGTGGGGCAGGGCTACATACGCCCGGCACCCATCCGAAGAGTCTTGACCTCACAGCGACCTCTTTGCGGAGCGCGTGCATGGTGCTCGGACGGGAGCCCTCACCACGGGCGCTCCAGCCCACTCAAAGCCGGCGCATGCAGCCGCCCCCAGACCAGCGGGTCGTCGCAAGGATGCAGGATGAAACGAGAAAAAAGGTAGAAGGGTCGATGCACATAGTCTGAAATGTTTATTTGGACAATGCAATCAATGCTTGCTTGGAAGAACGAGCATTGATGATATAACCAAGTTGTGTTTGATAAAGTTTTTAAACGGGCACCTCGTATATTTAAGGTCCAGAACTGCCAGTACAAGAACGGAACTCAAACCAGGAGCTTTAGC